CAGCCGCGCACCGTTCTCGGCCCCGCCCACCGACCCCGCCCCTCCGGAGCCTGACCAGCTAGGGCGGGGCCGGAGCTAATGGACGCGCTCCTATTCCGACTTAGCCTGAGAGTTGCTGTGTGGATTCTGACTGACGCATCCTGTTAGTTACAGGAGAGTCAGGCCAGCCCAGATTCTAGAGTGAAGGATGTAGATTCCTCCGACTTGATGGGAAATGACAAGGTCACTTGTGGAAGGGCTTGTGGGATGGGAAACATCTATGAGAAATGCAATCTACTACAGTATTCAACTATTAACTATAATGATGATGATAATCTTTGGTCTCCATGCTGCAGAAGAAGAAACTGAGGTGCAAAGAAATAAAGCCTTCTCTGAGACTTCTTATCCTCATAAACTTCTCATGCCTGACCCTCTGTAGCATTTTGGTTGAAACTAGAGGATCCAAAGTGTTTCTAGATCTTTTGCAATTTTAGGTAGAAAAGAATTTAACACAAGGGATTGTTGCTTGGAAAACCATTGAAAAAGCTGGAGGAGTGGGCGTTAGGCTGGGCTCCCAGGAAAGACTCTCTGGACAGAGCAACATTGGCCTGCCAGAGGAGCTGTCCCCTCAGCCACCGCCCAGATGGTGGGCATCAGGAGTGGGCCAATGAAAGGAATGAATTCTGGAGGAACTGTCGGAGCTGTGACCCCAGGATGAAAAAACTGCGCCATTGCAGCTGCCTTTCAGCTTCCACAAAACAGGTCACTGGACACTGGAAAGCTGGGTCAGGCTGCTGCCTCTGTCGTAACTAACTATCCACACCCGTGGGCTGTTGACAACTGAATTCTGCAGAAAATCCCCCCATCTCTGCAAACTTGTTGACCAGCAGCACACAACCCAAACTGCAGGAGAACGCCTCCACTCCATGTCTTCCTTCAAAACATGGTACAAGTGCATCCAATGGCAGAGATAAATTCATATCCAGAAACCTAGCTGCAAAGGGGAGTTTTAGCCTTTCTGCCAGGAAGTTACCTCAAGACTCCTCACGCTGCTCCCACCTGGAGAAGCCCCATATGTCTCACTGGCTGGAACCAAGTCATGTGACACTCTTAGCTGCAAGGGAGTCTGGAATTTGAGGATCTGGCAGAAGAAACAGACTTGGCTTAGATCAGAGGAGGCACAGCGTCTTCCCGAACACAATCAGGGTTTTGCTGGCAGGGAGGATGGCTGCTGGGGGTGGTGGGTTACTCGCAAGACAGTGTGACAGCACTGTGTGCTTATGCATGGCAGTGAGTGTAACACGGAGAGTGCATGCAACGGGGGAAGCGGCACAGGTCAGCATGTGTATGTGAG